AAAGAAAGAAAGAAAAAAGAAATGAAATGTTATTATTTATTTTAAAGTTTAAATTATTCAGAGCCTGGGTATTGGCAGCTTCCTTCAAGCTGGCTTCTTCAGAAAATTAATATGAATGACTTTCCTTTTGAGTTTTCTAAGTGGCTTCATAAGTAAGGGGCAACATGACTTATAATCTGATGTACAATTTTCAGATATCATCTTTTATGTTCAAAGTAGTCTCTGATGGGTATTTTCTAAATGATGTGATGAATTCATTGTAATTTATCTTAACTCACTCCTGGTTTCTCTAGTAGACACTTCAAATTGGTACCAGGCACTTGGCATAGTTAGTAGCATAGCAAAACTCACCTTCTGATGGACTCTGAACCCGTAGTTATAGCCTTTTTAACACAGTCCTCTAACAATTTAAGACAAACACTATGCTTAAGAATGCAGTGAAATTTCACTTTTACAAAATTTATCCTGGTTATGAACATCAGTAATGCCTAAATGAAGCATGCGAGGAGGGTCAGGGAGATAGCTCAGTAGCATAAGTGCCTGCCTGGCAAGTACTAGGTCTGGAGTTTGGTCCCTAGTACAAAAAAAAAAAAAACTAGATATCTCTTTATCACTAAATTTTTTTTAAAAGGATCTCTCCTGATTTTCTGGTTTTTGTCTACCCGCTAATTGTCAGGATTCAAACAGGTAAATTGTCAGAGTTTTTGACAACATCTTGCTGCACACACTTGAGTTTCATGGACCTTGGACCTGAGGGTAAGCTGTACAGTGAAGATTATGAAGACAACTCTGATGAGTTGGAATCTGGCAATTGGATGGATAACTATGATTCAGCCAGTAATGGTAAGCAGGCTTCATAAAGCACTGGTTGGCTGGACAAGAAAACAAAACATTGTTTAGCATCGTCCTTAATAACTCATGCTACAGCAGTCTCACAGTGCATCATCCTCGTTCCTCTTTAATACATCTAGATTTCTACTTTTGTTTGGCTTCACTTTTCACCCCTTTACTTACCTTCAGTTTCTGGTCTAATATCCCTGTGGTGATTGTGCAGTATGGAGCTGGACTGTTCCTCATTATAGCTAGGCAAGATTTATCTCCTGGGCATTTGAAGTGGCTGGTGGTTTTGAAATGGGAAGAAGCAGTGGTGAGTAATAGATACCTAATATCTATTGCATAGTACATAGTAAAACAAAATTATAGTTAGAACTGCTTTTTTGTATCAAAAACCCTAAAAATTACATTAAATACAAGACATTTACTGTTACTAATAATTGAAGTTATTTATTATGTCTATTTTGGCATAAAATGCTTTGAAGATGAAGCAAGAAATATCATACATTGAGGCTGCTTACTGTTCCATGAGTAGTTATGATTTTCACCTGTAGAAGGATTTTTTTTTTTTTTTTTTTGCTCTAAATGCCTTCAGGGCAGGTTTGGCTGGCTTGAGTTGTGGGGATCGAACCACAGCAACCTGAGCCTGACTGCTTTGTTGAAGCAGCCACTTAAAGAACTGAGCTAAGGGGCAGGCCCCCGATTTTCACCTGTAGCATGCATTTCCTTGAATTACTTTTTATTTTAGTAAGAGTCTACCAGGTCTCACTACGTAGATCGGACTCATAGTGATTCTCCTATGTTTAGCTTCCCAAGAGCTGGGATTACAGGTGCACGCCACCACACCCAGTCTCAATCACTGTCTCAGTGTGCCCTGGGGGCAGGGCCTGAATGGCAGGCCAGGGGATCAAACCCTGGCCGCTGCATCTGCCTAAGCAGGTGCTTTAATCCACTGAGCTATTTGACTAGCCTTGAATTACTTTTTAAATTTATCTTTTTAATGATCTGTACTACTACATTTGATCTTACAGCATTCTAAGTTGCTTTGTACCTCTAGATTTTGATCTCACCATGGGCATGATGATTGCTTGCTGGTTCTTTTATAGATACAAAGCATCTTTCCATATTCTTCATAATCCTTGATTCAAGTATCGAAATTATACTGAAGGTTAGACTGTGTCATTGTTATGTCCTCGAATGTGAGTTCCATTCTTAGAGCTCTGCTATCCCCATTAACTATATCAGAGCATGGAAATGCATCTGGAGAAATTACGAAAGATCATCCCAAATCAGATAAAACAAAGTATAAAGTGTAAAGTCTGAAATATTAAGTGCCTACAAGTTATTTGTATGTTTTTCATGTTCACTATCTGTATGGAGAGTTGATATTATATAGAGAATGCATGGTGGAGAGGGACCTGAAGAAGATAGGGACCAGGTCTCTCTTCTTCACCACACTTGAGTCCCTAATGCACTGCCTCCTACATAAACAGTAAATAGTTGCTGAGTGAATAAATGAGATGAGTGAAGGGCACTGTGTGGCCAGTAGTGCTTTCCTCACCATTGCCACATGAAGGTGGTTTTTTTTTTCTTTTGTAACCATACCTGCTATTTGAAGCTTGTTTGGAGAAGATTTTCCCTTCCTTGGCCCTCCCTCACATGAGTCCCTTATCACTAGTGGGACTTGAAGGGCCATGTTTTGTCTCCTCCTCCTCCCCCCCCCCATTCCACTCCTGCCGCAGCTACCATCACATATTCACACGTGCACACCCAGATTGGAAGATGCTTGCTCCACCTGTCCTAAAATGAGCTCAGACTGCTTTCAGGCACCATAATATTTTCTCAGCAAAGCTGAAGAATGGGGTGTCCTGGAAAATGGCTCTAGTCTCTAAATCTTAAATCTATGAAGCTGTATAGTGATAACAAGCTTGTCTCCCCTCCATGAGCTACAAACAGCTTACTCCTGGTGCTGGGTTATAGGTTCAGGAGCTGATCATTCTGATTGCTGGGATGGACTGTGAAATAACTGGAATGTTTATTTTTTTTTCTCTTCTCCCTCCCCCACTAACCCTGCAGCTCGCTGTGGTGAGGAAGTTGCTCGTTACTTAGATCACCTTTTGGCCCACACTGCTCCCCATCCTAAACTAGCCCCTGCTTCAAAGAAGGGAGGGCTAGATCGATTCCGAGCTGCTGTGCAAACAACCTGCGACTTAATGTCCTTGGTGACCAAGGCCAAGGAGCTGCATGTACAGAGTGAGTAATACTGTGACTCACTAGAGTCAGGCACAGGGTGACATGAAGCCCACAATAGGGCTGGAACATTGATTATTCTGTAAACAGGAACTTTGTTCCCTGCTTTATCCCCAGCATTGTATACAGTACCTGGAAAATGTTAGACACCCAAACATTTGTATAATCAATGAATCAGGTAGAGTTTTCCTGAAGATAGTTCTATGTAGTCTGGCTTAACCAGGAACACAGTAAGGAGAGGCAGAACAAGAGAAAGGAAGCAGAATTACATCAAAGCTAAAAATGGTAAGAAGAGCTTTTCCTTTAGAAAAATCACCCCCTGAGAAGTAATTTTATTTAAAGAGAAAGCATTGCAAGATTATGACAGGGTCGCCATGCAATGGAGAAAGAGATGGTATCTCTTAAGTAAAATTGTTTCCCTTAGGCCAGTTGTAACTTTTGCCATTCATTTGCTCCAGCCACATAGATCTATGTTTTCTCAAATATAGTATTCATTCTTCTCAACTTTGCCATACTCCTCTCTAAGACTACTACCTTCTTTCAGCAGTGTTTGTAGTGGGAGATGGCTTCTTCTATGCAGCGCCAGGAGTAGTCCTGGTTCCGAGAGTGTTCGGCACCTCTATGGTAGCTGCGTATGAAGGGAGAGAAAGGCTCCTTGGCCATGCCTTGATGACCCAAATATTAACATTATACAAATGAGAGTGATTGATATGCATGCTCTTGCCATCTAAAACTTTATTGACCATTACTAATCAAAGATATTAAATGTGAGTACTAGGGAATTAACATTTATAATAGGAAAAATTTTAACATACTCTTTGGGAGTGCTCTCTGGAGAGGGAGCTTATGCAAAGAGATGAACTTGATTAAATACTCCTTGATTGTGCATCAGGACACTTGAGTTTAATTTTCAGCTCTGCTATTTACCTGCTTGGACAGTTGTTTGAGCTTTGTATCTCTCTTTATCTGTAAAATGGTGAAAATGACAAGAGAGTCTCTCTTTAGACATTATGGTAAGTATTTCCACAATGGACTGTAAGTACAAATCTCAGAAACACCTCAGAGTTGCTCACCCATCGCATTTTGTAATTCCCTAGATAGCATCACGCAGTTACCTATTTTCAGGAAAACACAAGGACTAACCATCAAATATTCTCCTGCAAAAGCCCATAACTGGGGCCGGGGAGATGGCTCAGTAGAATAAGCCCTTCCCTGGCAAGCGCAATGGTCTGAGTTCAAGCCCCGGTTCCGCCAAAAAACAAAAGCCCATAACTGAGTTCTTTCTATTATACGTAGCATTATATTAAAGTGTCATTGATGGCAACATTGTTATATTGATTACCTTAGTAAATTTAATATATTTTATGTACAGTTGATGGTACAATTCTAGAAAAATCAATTCAAAATATATGTATCACTTGCAAAGTTTTTAAATTATCTAATGTACATATTTTTCTTTGATAATACCATGAAAGGAAAAATTTGCGATTGTTTTTCTATAAAGAATTGACCCATACGCAAGCCCATTGTTGAGGTCAACCATGCATTTTGATTAGTTTCCTAACTGTCTAACCTTTCACGTACATGTCAACCTCTTACAGATGTTCATATGTACCTTCCTACAAAGTTATTTCAGCCTTCCCAGCCTTCATTCAACCTACTTGACTCACCAGACTCCTCACAGGGTAACCAGGTAAACCTGCACATGAGGAATTTCTATTAGCATTTTAAAAGACTGTCATCTTTATGGAAAATAATAGAACTTGCATTGTGGTTCATGTTAGTAGCTGATGGCAGACAAAATACTATCCTGGAAGATACGTGTCTTTTTCAGTTAGCTCTTGAGACAGGGTCTCATTATGTAGCCAAGGCTGGCCTCAAATTCGCAATGACCCTCCAGCCTTCTGAGTGATGAGATGACAGGCATGTGGCACCAGCGTGGCTTTCAGTTAGCTCTTAAAGAGGGAAAGTTTGTCTAATTTTGCTTTAAAATATTTTGCTTTGGGCCGGGGAGATAGCTCAGTAGAATAAGCATTTGCCTGGCAAGTGCAAGGTCCTGAGTTCAATCTCCAGTACCGCAAAAAAATAAATTAAAAAAAAAAATTTTGCTTTTTGATATGTCTTGATGGCTTCATTGTTTTTATTTTGCTTTACATCAATATTTAGAAAATTCTTATCACAATGGTTTACGAGTGGAAAGATGACTCATTCTATGGCATCATTTAAGAACACCTATGGACTTAATTTCTTTTCATCATTTCTCAAAATAAAGGTTCCCTCTGTTCGTGTAGAAATGCATTTTCCTAGAGATCAATCCGGGGAAGTGGACTTGAAAGCACTGGTTTCACAGCTGAAGGAAACTTCAAGCTTACAGGAACAAGCTGATATACTCTACATGCTATACACTGTGAAGTAAGTGATTAATACTCTCTCCAAATATAGTATGTATAGGAGCTGGGGAGGTAGCTCAGTGGCTTAAGCACCTGCCTGGCAAGTGCTAGGTCCTGAGTTCCATCCCCGGTACCAAAAGAAAAAAAATATAGTATGTATAATATATATTCATATAGAAGGGAAGTATGGCATAAGATGTTAGTCAGCTTTCCTTTATTATAGCATATACCTAGGATGATCCTAACATATACTCCAAGAAGTTAGCTCAAAACTGCTCCCTTGCCAGCCAGATAGCTCAGTTAACTAAAGTGCCTGGTTAGGCAGAGTGCAACACCTGGGGTTCGATCCCTGGTGCCAATGCCTACCCCACCCCAGGGGCACAGTGAGATGGCGACTGAGACTGGCATGGTGGCACATGCCTGTAATCCCAGTGCTTGGTAGGCTGAAAACAGGAGAATCACTACAAGTCCGATCTACATAGTGAGACCCTGTAGACCCTGTAGATCCTGTCCTAAATACATTGAAAAAAAACTGCTCCCTTTCCTACTCCCTGCTCCTTTGGCTCCCTCCGTAATGTAGTACATGTGACTAATACTATTTAGCCATGTTAATTTTGATATATATATCTCACACCACTAGCCTAGACTCTTCGAGGTCAGTGACTGTCTTTTATTGTATCCTCAGTACACAACCCAGTACTTGACTTGCAGCATGTCTCCAGTAAGAGTCTCTCTCTCTCTCTCTCTCTCTCTCTCTCTCTCTCTCTCTCTCTGCCTCTCTTTCTCTGTCTGTATCTGTCTCTGTCTGTCTCTCTGTCTCTCTCTCTCTCTCGTACACTTATTTACACATATATGCATTATTTTCTGTGCCATTTAAGAGTAATTAGTAGATATAATCCCCATGTACCCCTAAATATGTCAGTGTGCATTTTCTTCAAAGTAGAAACTCTCATAGAATCACAGTATCATTGTCAAAACCAGAAAATAAACCTCAAAACAATATTACCAGATTTATCTGTTAGCCTAATAATGTATTTATTGCAAAACAAAATCTAAAATCATGCAGTTCATTTAGTTCTTATGTTTTAAATTACCATTGATCTGTATACACTACTGAGTCTTACTTTGCATGTTTTTGATGTCCTGAGTTCGATCCCCAGTACAATAAATAAATAAATAGCATTTATTTTGCAGACCATCAGTTTTTTTATATGAGATGGCTCATCATGAATAAGTTCTAGAGACATGTTTTTTGGCAAAATGCCACTGAGCTGATGCAATCTCTGTATGTCCTGTCAGGAGGCACACAATGCTTAGTGTCATCACTGACATTGTTCAGGTTGATCACATGGCTTGATCATCTGGCCAGGTTCCTCCACTGGAAAAGCCATTATGTCATTTATAATTAACAATATATCCTGTAGTTATATGCATTGAGACTGTGTAAATATCCCGTTATTCTTCAAATCTTCACTCACTGATCTTGCATCCATTGATGACTCCACAGCACTTTTTAGTTCATGTTTTCTAACATTTGATATATTAAATAGAGCATGCATTCCCACATCTCAGAACTTTTTAAGTATGAAAAGATATGCAGCAAAAGTGTAAAAGTCTTTTTCCCAGATACCAAGTTCACTGGCAATCAATACTGTTTTTGCATGTGCCTCTTCCCGGGGTCATTTCATGCATATGTATGTCAATACAGATACATGTAGAGTATACTTTGACCCATTTATCTAAATGTAGCACAATATGTAAATTGTGGTATACCTTGATTTTTCACTAAAACTATAAATCTTATACATATATATTCTATCTTATTTCTTCATAAAAAATCACCCCTAAATTTAATGGCTTAAAATATCAAAGGTCTAAAACAGTTCTGGAACTTCCCTGATCTCAGGGAATTCTACTTGCTCAGAATCTCGAATTCAACTTTTGTCAGACAGTGTCTGAGCCTGGAGTAATGACAAGGCTTGTTCATTACTGCTGGGTCACGATGATCATGACTGTTGACTGGAACCTCATTACATACAGCTAGAACCCCTGCAAGTTATTTCCTCATATGTGTTTCCTCACAGAATGATAACCAAATGCTAAGAGTAATTGTTTCAACACAAGACCAAGTAGAAGCTGTACTATGTTTTTTACCTAGCCTCAGACATCATACACTGATACTTTTGCCTTAGTTACAATGCCTGCATTCAAGGGAAAAGAATACAAACTCCTCCTCTCAATGAGAGGGCAGTGAAAGTCACTTTGTAAGAGGAACATGTTGAGTGCAAAATTGTTGTAGTCATTTTAGGAAATACAATCTACCATGTTCTAGATTTATGTATATTCTCCCAATAGTTTTATAGTATTCTGTTACTTGAATATAGCATGGTTCATTTAATCAGTTTCCTACTGGTAGACATTTGCATATTTTCCAGTCATTCACTCCTACAAAGCTTATAGTGAAAACCTCTTAGCATGTATCATTTCACATGTATGGAAGGATTTTATTCTATACATAAACCAGAAAGTGAGTTGATCAGCCAAAGGATATAGGTATTTTAAGTGTATAATTCAATGGAGTTTTATGTATTCATAGTATTGTGCACCTTTCACAACTACCCATTATAGAACATTTTATTATCCCAAAAAAGAAACACCATTTCCGTTACCCATCAGTCACCAATCCCTCCATCCCCTTGCCTAAGCAACCACCAGTCTACTTTCAGCCACTACAAATTGGCCTATTTCCAACATTTATACAAATGAAGTCGTATGATATTCAGTGTTTTATGATGAACAACTTTTGTTTAGTACAGTATTTTCAAGGTTCATCTGCACTGTAGCATGTCCTCTTCCTTCCAAAGCTATGAACTAATTATTCCACTTTTTTCTTGTACCTTTACATTTAGATCTCTGCTACCTCTGAAATTATAGTGATACAGTGAAGCATAGGTCCAGCTTTTTTCCAGATGATTACTTGATTGTCATAACATCTTTTAATTAATAGTCTATCTTCATGGCATATTAATTTCCCTGTATCAAAAACCTTCATACATATATTTTAAGGTACTTCGTAGTTGGTTTGTATTAGTTCTACAATAATAAATGTATATGTGCTTTAGTTACTTTCTCATTTCTTGGAAAAATTACTCAATATGCACGATTTAAAGGAGGGAAGGTTTATTTTAGACCATGGTTTGTAGAAGTTTCAGTCCATAGTCAGCTGGCTCCGAGGCTGGGTGACATGGCAGACAGGCAGGGCAGCAGAGAAACAGTTCATGGCATGGGAAGCAGGAAGCAGAGAAGGATCAGAGAAGCAGAGAAGGGAGATAGACCTTTCCAGGCCGTGCCCAGGGGCCCTCCTCTTCCCAGCAGGCTTCACCTCCCACCATCACCCCACCTGTTAACCCAATAGTGGACTAATCCAGTGATGAGTATCACACATCTGTGATCCAGTCACCTCACAAAAGCCCCAGTTATGAGTATATGAGGACTTGGGGAGACATCTAGATATAAATCATAATAATATGTCCCCTTTAACAATAAATACACATTTTCTTGTTTCTTCATTAGTTCCTGAAGCATAGCCTACTTCTGAACATTCAGGAGTTAAATCTTTGTCTTTAGTTTCAGCTGTGTTAAAGGCTGTGAAAGAACACTTTACTAAAGCACAGCTGAAACTAAAAAATTCTTTTCTAGATATTCACAATTGACTATTAGAGTTTTACAAGGATTCTTAGTAAACAATAGCAGTTTCCTAAGGAAGAAGCCTTATCAAAAACATGTATATCTATTTTAACTCTGACAGAAAAGACGTTTTTACTTATACTTTATGTGGTTCTGTCTTTAAAATTCCAGAGGACCTGAATGGGACACAGAATTGTATGAAGAAAGAAGTGCTACCGTCAGAGAGCTTCTTACTGAACTATATGGCAAAGTTGGAGAAATTCGTCACTGGGGCCTGATCCGATATATCTCTGGGATCTTAAGGAAGAAGGTGGAAGCATTGGATGAGGTAGTCTAAGTTCCATTACCAGATCTAAATGCGAGTGCTTTCAAACAATTCGTTTGAGGACTGAGAGTATGTCTCAGTGGTAGAGAACTTGCCTGCCATTTGTGAGGTCCTGGGTTTCCCCTCCAGCAACTCCCAAAAAGCAAACCCCCAACTTCCATAACTGTTTTTAAGGCAAACACAGCCTGTACTCATTTCACATGCCATCTTTCATATATAGTTTCTGTTGTTTATTTTGATTTTTGTCAATAACAATTATACATTACTGAGCCATAAAAACTGTAGACTTTAGAAGTATTATAAACTACAAGAATTCTAGATCTTAAGAATGAATTTATGAAAAAAAATAATGAATTTGTGCTGGGATGAAAGTTCCTACTTCCTAGGAGATGGAAAGACTTGATAATTCCTTCCTATAAATGTCGCATTTCTGATCTGCATGGTAGTCCTTTTTTTAGGACAGGGTCTACAGGGTGCTCAGGGTCTCACTACATAAATTGGACTCGTAGTGATCCTCCTGTTTACAGCCTCCCAAGAGCTAGGATTACATGCGTGCCACCATGCCCAGCCTCAATTTCTGTCTCAGTGTACCCCTGGGGCAGGGCTGGCACAACAGGCCCGGGGATCGAACCCCAGCTCCTGCTTCTGCCTAAGCAGCGGCTTTAATACACTGAGCTATTTGGCTGGCCCTGCATCGTATTTCTGAGGAAAAGTTTGATATATTTTTAAGTTAAGGAGAAATTATTGTTTCTAGACTGTGAAGGGAAGTGTTTGTAGAAATCCGAGTTTTTACAGAAATGATAATGTTACGTTGTCTCTCGTTAGGCCTGCACAGACCTGCTCTCCTATCAGAAACATTTGACAGTAGGACTCCCTCCAGAGCCTCGAGAAAAGACCATCTCTGCGTGAGTGTGTTCTTCCGTTAGGTCCAATAAGGCATCTCTGAGTCTTTAAGGAGTTTCGTGGATTTTTCACAATTCCATTCCCCTAATTTGTCAATGGATAACGTGCACACTTCTATGAAAGACTCAGCAGCAGAATGCTGGCAAATGACAGGGCACAAGTAAATGAAAGAGAGAAACTCAGAGGGAGCAGTACTCAAACTTTTTTTCTGGGTTGGTTTTCTTTAAACCTCCCATTCAAAAAACAAAACATGACAACATACACAGAGCTCAGGAATTAGCACCAAGAGTCCACCATACCCTGAAAGAGGATGTGAAAGAAAGTGTCTGGCTGGAGCACGGAACTGGTGATGCACTTCCGTGCAGCTCAAGAACGAATGAAAGAGGCAGAGATTAGTACTTCCTCTGGTCTCTCAGCTTCTGATTGACAACAGTCTCCTAGGATAAGCTGCGGTCAGAAGCGGTGGGAAGTGGAGTGATATTTAGGATAGAAAGTTTAATTATTCGTACGTGCGTCTCGCATTTGCCTCTAGCCATGCTGTTAAAACTCATCTGCGCTAAATCTGTCTAATTTTATGTTACAGTAGTGCCAATATTAAATCTGAAGCAGGTTGTATTTACAATAAATATTTTAGAGACATTCTATCTTCATTCTTAAGTGATATGAAAATTCTGTTTCCCTACAAAGGAGTACTCTTTTTAAAAAAGATATTACCCCCCACACCTGCCAGTTCTATTTCTGTAGTCACTGTAGTGAAGTTTTATATTTAAAAACATACCTTAGGTATAGAGATGAATGTAGAATAAGTGATAGTAAGGTACTCAGGAATTAGCTGGTCATGGGGACACCTGTCTGTAATCTCAGGACTCTAGAGATTGAGGCAGGAGATTCACAAGTTCAAGCTCAGCCTGGCCAACGGGGTGATTTCCTGAGACCCTGATCCAAAATAAAAAAGAGAGTGAAGGATGTAGCTCAGTGTGGAGGCCCTGAGTAAAGCATCCAGTACTACACAAAGGAAAGAGGAGGAGGAAAAGAGGGAGAGAAAAAAGAAGAGAAGAATCAGGAATGCTATAATTTCTGTTGCTTATGAGATCCATTCCTCAAAGAAGGTATGGAGTGGCATGTCATGGGGCCATGTGTCACAGGTTTTATTTGTCAAGTCACAGTTGTTCTTTAGGAAACTTGTGCTAACCTTGTATGTTGGTTGGCTTGTGCTGACATAACAAAATACCACAGACTAGGCGGTTTCAACAGCAGAACTTTATTCCTTCACAGCTGTGGAGACCAGAAGTCTAAATCAGGGTGTCAGCAGGATTGGTTCCTTCTGAAGGCAGCAAAGGACTTTTGTCCTTCTCCTCTTGGCTTAGAGAAGGCTATATTCTCCCTGTGCTCTTCACATTCCTTTGCTGCACATATCACTAAGCATCCATAATCCTCTTTTTATTAAAGCACTAATCATATTGGTTCAGGGCCCACCCTAATGACTTCACTTTAATTTAATCACCTCTGAAGACATCTCCAAATAAAGTCACATTTTGAGGTACTAAAGGGTTGAGGTTTCAACACAGGAATTTTTTTAGTGTGGGGACAGAATTCAATCACCAACACCTTAATCCTGCCAAACAAGATCAGTTTTGTAATGCTATAAGCAATCCAAAAGAAAATCACATGAGCCACACTCTGAAAGTACTTCATGTCAATGGTAGGTGGATTTATGCGTATGTGTGTGTAGGAGAGAAGAGAATGTGTGTGCAAACTGATGAAACTAGAAACTCAATTGAACTGTAAGATGTGACTGAAGTAATAAAATGGCACAGGTTCAAATTATTTTCTTTGTAGTCATAGTAGTTAAGGATATTAAGCAAATGTTAAGGATAATTATGAAAGATTAGTATGAAATAACATCAGAGACTGTTTCAAACTTTATAAAATGAAGGAAAAGAGCAATCTAGTGGTGGAGAGAAGACAAAGTTCTTGGAGTTGATGTAGACCAGTGTGCTACTGGTAATGATGAGGTATTGAGGAAATGACTTGGGTTTAAGAAGAGTTTCTTATTTTTTAAATTTTTTTATTAATTTTATTGAGATACAAATAGCAGTGAGGCAGCTTCAAAACCGATTAATAAGACAGTTTCAATAATTAATACAAGGGACTGGGGAGATGGTGCAGTGGAATAAGTGCTTCCCTGGCAAGCGCCTGAGTTCAATCCCCGCTTTTGCAATAATAATAATATTAATAATAATAATAATAATAAATACATTGTATACTGTTGTCTTCATAGTGGTTATTCCTAGTACAAGAGGCAGACATGATATCCTGTCCAAACACTATTAGTACAAATCTTTCTTCTCATTGAATTAAGAGAAAGTAGCTGTATATCCAAAAATCTATCTATACTATTTTGTACATACAGATTCAAAATGGTTAAGAAGAGTGGTTTTTTTAAATATATTTACCTTTAAATGATTGCGGAATTTTATTTTTACTCATTGTCTTCTTCAGACCTTTGCCCTATGAGACACTCACTGAGCTAATAGATGAAGCCTGTGAAGGCGACATGAGTATTTCAATTCTTACACAGGTGAGAAGAATTTAAAACTTAATCTGGTGATTAATATTTTGAACTTTGTTTTTAAGCGCCCCACAGCTTGCAAAGATGATGCCATAAGCTTTGTGAGACGCAGGCCATGATCTTTGCTATGTTCGTTCTGTGCACAGGAAATCATGGTATACCTCGCCATGTATATGAGAACCCAGCCTGGGCTCTTTGCGGAAATGTTTCGACTTCGAATTGGTCTGATCATACAAGTTATGGCAACTGAACTGGCCCAGTCCCTTCGATGCTCAGGTACTCAACTCAGTAACTACTTTTCGGCAAAATTCACTTTTAATGCAGCAATGCCGTTTGAGATCAGAAGAGAAAGGAAAAAAAAGAAGGGAAAGAAAGCTGACCCATTTTTACTCGCAGCTCAGAAGCTGTTTGCGGCGATCTTGTTCCCAAGTCAGTCAGTTGTTACCTACACAAGTAAAACGACCTACGATGACACCTTTTTCTATTGGTACTGCAGTTTCAAATCGTCACCACTTGGGGGCTCTGCACTCCGAATTCTTTTTTTTTTTTTTTTTTTTTTTTTTTTTTTTTTTTTTTTTTTTTTTTTTTTTTTTTCTTTTTTTTTTTTAATTGAGAAATACGAATGAGACAGTTTCAAAACAGATTAGTAGGACAGTGTCAATAATTAATACATTGCATATTGTTATCTTTGTAGTAGTTATTCATAGTTCAAGATGCAGACATGATATCTTGTCTAAACACTAGTAGTACAAATCTTTCTGCTCATTGAACTAAGAGAAAGTAGCTGTATATGTATCCTAACTATTTGATATATACAGATATATATATATAGTGATATAGAGATAGATAGATAGATAGATAGATAGATATTATGGTTAGATTTCTAAATTCCTGTGTATAAATGTGTAATTGTTTATTTTCTTTTTTTTATTTTTTATTTTTCCAGTTCTTCTTAACTAACTGCTCTTAGCTGATTTCATTTCTCCTAATCTCTGGAGTGCTCCAGAGAGTACCTAAGGATGACAGACTAGATTGGGTTCTGATTCAGGTAATAAAGGTTGAGAGACAGCTCAGTGGTAGAGCTCTTACCTAACATACACAAGGCCCTGAGTTCAATCCCCAATACAAAAAGAAACAAAGGTGCAGATCTGATTCCAGCAATGAGATTTCAGGACACTTAGGCTGAGTCACTGCATCAGCGGATAACAGTGTCAGAGTTATGTCTAGCCAACATCATAATCAAATAAGGAAGACAATGTGGGCTGGGGAGATGGCTCAGCAGAATAAGCGCTTCCCTGGCAAGCGCAGGGGCCTGAGTTCAATCCCCGGTTCTGCCAAAAACAAACAAACAAACAAAAAAGAAGACAATGTTTTGTTAACATTTAAGAAGATTGGGGGCCGGGGAGATGGCTCAGTGGAATAAGTGCTTCCCTGGCAAGCACAAGGGCCTGAGTTCAATCCCCGGTTCTGGAAAAAAAAAAAAAAAACATTTAAGAAGACTGTCTTTGAAATTAACTACAGGTATATTTGTCAATATAACAGTTTTAGTTGGAAAAAATAAGTGCTTGTAGTCTGTAGAGAAAAATTGTGTGATATTTTAAGTAAGAATGGCAAAATAATTATGATAAGGTTGGCACAGAAAAATAAAATCACAGTCTCAAAACTCAAAATTGAAACTCATTCTTTGAAATAAATTTCTCCAAAAGACTTTTAATTGAACCACTAACGAATAGCTAACTGTGTTGCTTTAAGTCTATCTAAATCAAATGCATGATATAATTTATATTTGAATAACCCTTCAAAAGAAAAGAGCAAACAATTATTTCATACCTAGAATATGCTGGAAACTGTGCTTTTTGCTTTATATTTGTGTATATTGTTTCATTTTATCCTTACGTTATCGTTCTAGAGAATGTAATACTGTCTCACGTTTTCCAATAAGTGAACTGAAATTCAGGAAAGCTAAATAATTTGTCCAAAGTATGATATTAAGGACATAAAGGAATTTGAGTCCAAGTCTGTTGGATTTCTAGTGATTTCCAGTTCACACTGTGAGAGACAAGGTCACTACATAGAATCCCCCTGCTGTGGTATCAAGAGATATTTTATGAAAGGATGTGGTCATTCAATAATAAACCTCAACAAAGGACAAAATCCTGACACTTGTTTCTCCTTAATTGCCTATAATGGACATTTTCCTCGGTAGATTCATCAAAATGATGGCTCTTTATTTATTACTGGGTTTGATAGTCAAGATGCTTAACAGTCTGATCTCTACCTACTATTTTAATAGCATCCTCACTAATTTTATTGATCCTTGTCCTCAAAGATTGATGTCTCTTCTAATTTCAAAAATACTTGTGTATATGATAAACGTAGCACGTAGTTCATACAATTGTTTATTGTTGTTTACCTTGTGTACATGTTCCATCTGTCCCAAGTGGATAGTCAGCTTTTCAAGGTTAAGTCTTACCATACCCTTTTGCACTAATATTAGTTAAATACACTCTTAAATGTCTCTTCATGAACAAGTTCAAATTATCTTCAAAATAGTCTTTTGAAAAAAAGATAAAAAATAGTCTTTTGTCTTATTTACTTTTCCCACATTGCTGAAACAAAATACCTGATGCCAAAAATTAAGGAAGGAAATTTATTTAGCTCAGTTTGTGGAGATTTCAGTCTGTAATCTGTTGGATCCAAGGCAGCATGGCCCATGGCAGAGGGCAACCGTTCCTGACGGGAGAAGACTGCAAGGCAACAAGAGCCAGAAGGAGGATCCAGAGAGCAAGCCTCTTTCCCTCCCTCATATTGTATGCAGTCCGCATGCCCTAAGGCACGTGTAGCTCTCGTACCTATAATCCCAGAATTGGACCACGAATCCATCACAAACTCTAGAAGCCCACAGCATGACTGCATGAGGCTTTGGAGGGACATCTAGACACAAAACATAACATCTTTATAATTTTGTGAATTTACATCTATTCCCTTTTAGTTTCTATGTGTCTCAACTAGGAAATTTTAATTATTTGCATCTATTTGCGTGCATATTTTTTTCATTGTATGTCACTGAAACTTCCAGTTCCATTGTTCTTTCATTTTTCCACCTTCAAAGATTCTGCTGAGTATAGGAGTGCGTGGGGCAGAAGTGAGATCATGAAGCAATAAGTGACCTAGCTAATTCATAAACCTGAATAGTCACTCCTTAAATAATTAAAAATTCATTATACTATGAATAGCTAGGGCTACAGTGTTAGGAATACAGTTTGTAATTCTTATCTTCCAATCACATAACTCAGAAATTCAAAACAAGAAAGAAAATAGAGTGCGAATTATACAACAGAATAATGTTGGTACGGACAGGGATGAGCTCAGTGGTAGCACTTGTGATTAGCGTATGGAAGGGCCTGGATCCTATTTGAAGAGCTACAAGAAAAGGAGATGAAAAGAGAAAGGAGAGAAGGGTAAAGGAGGAGAAAAAAGAAAGAAAAATAATGAGCAAAGCCAGTAAATTATAATTCTTTCTGTCCTATGTTTAATATTGACTAGCTGAAGAGGCCAGAGAGGGTCTGATGAACCTCAGTCCTTCAGCCATGAAGAACCTCCTGCATCACATTCTCAGTGGCAAGGAATTTGGAGTGGAACGAAGCGGTAAGAATAAATGGTTTGGTTTTGGTTTTTTTTTTTTTTTTCCAATTTCAGAGTGTTTTGCTCTAGCGTCTTGTTCATTTTCAAATAAATTTCTTTTATCAGCAGAACATTTTGCCTCAAATAAATAGAACCTCAATACATAAAACTTTTAAAAGAAAAGCTGCTTTTGGAACAAGATTTGGGAGCCACTATGAGTCACATTCATTCTTTAAATGATAGATCAACTAAGTAGAACAATTATTATTATGTTTCATTTTAAATATTTTGTCCATTCCTTTCCGTTACCCTAAATCTGTGGCAACTAACAATCCATACTGTCTGAAACTTTATTTTATTTTAATTGGTAGTAAATCAGTGGCACAGTGTTTGGGTGGATAGATGTATAATCTAATATAGACTTTTCAGCATTAAATTCCAATATGTCTAGGATATAATTAATTTTTATTACATGTTTGCAATACAAAATGATTACATCCCTCAGGGAGTGATAATAAAATACATTTTAATTTCTTTTTTTATCCCCTTCTGTCCCTCTCCCTGGAACCTTCCTCTATCTCTTGATCCATTTTCCATTTAAGAAAGATCGTCAGCAGATGCCTTATGGTTTACAATATAAGCTATAAACTTATAGTTTGTGGAAAAAACATGACAGTTTAAAAGGTGGCATAAAAGAACTTATAAACATTCATTGCAAAACTACCTTTTCAAAAAGTTACGTGCACATAATTTATTAAAGAGCTTAATAAATATTTTTCTAACTAAAAAAAAAGAAAGATCTTCCTCTCTACTTTCTATTATCTTTTTTATTTTGATCTTTATTATTTTAATTTGGGTTTTCATGTACAGTAAACCATGAGCTATTTAAACTTGCACTTCTGACTTATTGCATTTAGCATTATGGTATCAAGGTGCATCCATTTTCTTACAAACAATTCAAGTTTCTCTTTCTTTCTGGCAGAGTAGTGCTCCGTTGTGCATAAGTACCAGATTTTCTTTAAACATTCATCTATTGATGGGCTTAAAGACTGTTTCCAAGATTTAGCTATTATGAATTGTGCTGCTATAAACATGGCTGTGAATACATCACTGTGGTATATCTCAAACACTTTGGGGAAGATACCTAAAAGGGTAATAGCTGGATCAAGTGGAATTTCTCTTTTTAGTTCTTGGAGGGATCGCCATACTGATTTCCAAAATACATGTACTAGTTTACATTTCTGCCACTGATGCACCATAGCTGGGTTCCTTGATCCTTGCAGGCTTGCTTACATTTGATGTTATCTGACTTCTTGATGAAAGCCATATTTTCTGGCATAGGTGTGATCTCAGTGTTATTTTAATTTGCATTTGTCTAATAGCCAGATGTGGAATATTTTTCCAAGTATCTATTAGCAATTTGTATTTCTTCTTCTGAGAATTGTCTGTTCATTTCAATAGCTAATTTTTTATGTTTTGTTTTGTTTTTTGAGACAGGATCTATGTAGTTCAAACTGGCCTTTAACTCACTAAGTAACCTAAGCTTGCCTTGAACTTGCAAGAGTCCTCTTGCCTCAGCCTCCCAAGTGCTATAGCAGCCCATTTTTTCATTCAGTCTGTTATTTGGATGTGGTCAAGTTTTCTTGAGTTTTTTGCTTCTTCTAGAGATTAGATGTAACAGTTGTCCAAAGTGAGGCATTTTGCTGTGTTGACAACATTGGTTTCGTTTAGGAACAGGGTACATCTTTCCATTTTCTGATGTTCCCTTCGATCTGCTTTTTCAGAGTGCTGGTGTTTTCGTTGCAGAGCTCTTACAGTTGCTTTCTTAGACAGATTAAGATGTACTTAATTTTCCTTAATAATTAATTTCATTTTCTTCATACTGTAAATTGCACTGCTTTCCTAATTTTTTATCAGTGAGTTTATTATTGGTGTAAGGAACACTATTGGTTTTGCGGTGTTGACTTTGTATCCTGCTACACCACTGAATTTGGTTACTAATTCTAGAAGTGTTTTAGTGGTATCTGAGGGGTCTTCCTCTAGAGGATCATGGCATCTGCAAATAGTATTTTGGCTTCTTCTTTCCCATATTCATCATTTTTATTTCTTTTGCTTTCCTGATTGCTCTGGCTAACATTTTGAAAACTGTATTAAACAGTAGTAGTGACAACAGACATCCTCATCTTGTTCCTGATTTTAGAGGGAAAGCTTTCAGCCTCTCCCCATTTAATAAGATGCTGTACATTGTTTTGTTTTAAATTTTTTTTTATCAGATTGAGAAAAGGTCCTTCTATACCTATTTTCTTCAGAGTTTTTATCTTGAACAAATGCTGGATTTTGTCAATATCTTTTCTGCATCTGTCACAGTGATCATGAGATTTTTTTGTTCTTGCTTCTGTTGTAGTGATATGTTACATTTATTGAAATGCATATCTTGAAACATCTTTCCATCCCTGGAGTGAAGCCTCCTTGGTCATGGTGTATGATCTTTTTCATGATTTTTGGCCTTCTCTTTGTGAGTATCTCATTGAAAACTTTTTTTTAATCTTCTGTTTATTTATTTGGTACAGGATCTCACTACAAAGCTCAGACTCGTACTGATCCTCATGTTTTCAGCCCCCCCCCCCAGTGCTGGGATTTCAGGCATGCACCACTACACATAGTTTTGGTAGCCAGCTCTGCATAGACCTGCATGGCATGCAGTACTGGCTATTGAACCCACATCCTTATGCTTTCCAGGCAGGTGCTTAGACTGCCAAGCTATCTCCCTATCCCCTCATTGAAGACTTTTGTGTCTGTGTTCACTAACACATTCATGGCAGGGCCATAATTCATGTCTTGCTGACATATGGCGCTAACTTGAATTGACTATCCCATTAGATAGCTTGAACCACTGCTTTTACATGCATGGCTGTCTCATCAGGTGGCTCGTACAACTATTCAGGGAGTTTTGACTACAGTAATGTAAAGAAAGGTGTTGATTTAGTGCGGCGAGATAACTCAGCAAACTAAAGTGCCTACTTAGGCAGATGCAGGAACCGGAGTTCGATCCCCAGCGTGTGGTGCTGGCCCCGCCCCTGGGGTGTGCTGAGATGGCATTTGAGATGGGGCATGGTGGCGCATGCCTGTAATCCCAGCACTTGGGAGACTAAAAACAGGAGAATCACGAGGAGTCCAATCTACATAGTGAGACCCTGTAGACTCTGTCCTAAATACATTAAAAGATATATATAATATACATATATATTTATATAGAGAAAGGTTCTCATTTAGCAGACCAGATGTCATCATATTATAGTTCCTCAAGGATAACATTAAAATTCTATAAAAATTGCAATACAGTTAATTTGTGGTACAGTAGTTGTACATGCATATTATATGTACCAGCAGTGGAGTACTTGTAAGACATCCATGTTAAAATTTAGAGGGGCTGGTGAGATGGCTCAGTGGTCTAAAGCACCTACTTAGAACAAGCTTAGCAAAGCACAGGGACCGTGGTTCAATCCCCCAGCCCCACATGCCAGCCAGCCCTGCCCCCTGGTGGGCTGAGCTGGCCACACACACACA